CCCCCCGGAATCGTACTGCGCACTGCTAACCACTACACCACAGCGGCCGACGATGAAAACTACTCATACAAATTTAAAAAAATATATATAAAAAGCGTAATGAAAACATTACAATATCACATGGAAGCTGTTTAAAAATCCTCAATGAAACTTAAAATTGTTGCCACCATTCCATAAATAATTTCATTTGGTGTCGTCACAGCATACTACGTATATTGCGAGGAAAGAAAATTTAGGGCGTCGCTACCTAACCTTTGAAGTCTTCCTTAAATGTAGGTATACAATACTAAGAAATGGCAGCTGAAAGCAAAATTCTTTACCCGGTAGTAAAATGCGCCTTACAGTTGCACTTAGCTCTGCCGTGTGGTACAACTTGCACAATTGAAAGGTCGTTTAGCACACTAAGAAGGGTAAAAACTTGGCTGCGCTCCACAATGAGTGAAACTCGACTTAACGGTAATCATCTACATATATAGAATTGCTCAGTCATACGATTTAGTTAGGGCGATCTGTAGCAGCTACTGAATTAAGTTATATGTATAACAAATTAAAGTGCAAGCTGCAGTTGGAGTTGACCGTGTTTGTCACAAAAGTAAAAAGTGACAGAAAACTCGATAGTGGGCATATAATCTATTGAAAAATATTAACGAATTTTCCGTGGAATTGAGATTCGAAAAGGTATCAGGTATTATTCATACTTTTGAACTATATTTCAGGAAAGCAAAAAATAAAAATAGTTGAGATCACTTCGGTTTTTAAACACGGAAAAGCTCAAAGCTTTACAAAGTTGTTAATCTCCTGATAATAAACAAACCGCTTATTCAAATTAAACAAGTTTGGTATCAAATGAAAGAGGACTAAAATAAAACTGAAATGTGTAAACTAGGAAAGTCACCTATTGGAAAATATTTCAACAAAAAATGTTATTTAATAACCATAGAGCAAACCTTGTGTCAGATATATGAATTGCTTTTGTATTAAATTATAAAAAAATATGAATGGAGGTGGTAGCCTTCGTACTTATTTTTATTTAAAAGCTATTTCCGTCCTCTTTCATTTGATAACAAACATTTATTTAGTTTGGATAAGTTGTTTGTTTATTATCAGGAAATGACTTTTATTTCAAACTTAAAAATATTTGGCCTAGGTGACTTAAAAAAAAAAATAACTTTCGCTCCCGGGGTGGAAGGAAAACAAGACCTCGATCAACTTTGCATGCGAACGACGTTCGTTATTTACTTATTTCAAAATCACAACTTTGAGTCGTCAAGAAACTATTGGGCTAATTCCACCCAAAAATTTTGTAATGCACATAAAACAACAGAACTGGGTTCTGACAAAATGTTTGTAAAAACACAAAAAACAAGAAGCAATTTAAACAGGTAAAATGGTGAGCTTCAATGTTTCATCTGGAAATACTTTTACGGAATTGCCAATTGCTACTGATGCTGGCGGTAAAGTACTGTTGCATATTGCTAATGACAGTTACCACAAGTCGACAAACAGGCAGTGTGTAAGTAAGCAAGCATGCCAAGCAAGAAAGTGAATTATGAGTTCTGCGATATACATACATATTTCATATATTGTAATGATTGCTGAGATAACTGAGCAGTGGAAAGGCACCGAACAA